GCGATGGTGATTACCACCAAAGTTGCTGTTATTGTCCATCAATCAAAGATAAAGAAAGAGATAACGGTGTTTAGGGTTTTTTAAAACCTTATAATCTTAATTATATATTCTTACTACTAAAAATAATGCGTGTTATTTTGTTAAATCATATTAATTTAATAATTTTTATTTTTTTATAAATTCTAAATCTAATCCAAATCCTACTTAGAGTAGAGAAGAATGAGGGTCTATTGAGGAAGGAAATGAAATGCTTGTAGTAGGTCTAGAATCCACAACCCAAAAGAATATGAGAAAACAAAGATAAACGATTTGAAAAAACCTTCTAAAAATGGTTGCTCAATAATTTTCAATTGAATTAGTCTCCAACCAATCAATGAAATCACACTCAATTGAACTTTTAATATATAGCTCAAAATGGAGTTGATATGTTTGAACCGGCTCAAAACTCCACATGTTAGCAAGTGAAAAAGAAATTATTTATTGTTGTTTGAGCATGTAGTAATTATTTTACTTAGGGATGCAAATAAATAGAACGTTCAAATAAATTGTTTGACAAAATATTTATTTATGTTTGTTTATTTATTAAACGGACGGATATAAATAAGATTTTTTGCTTGTTTAATTAAATGAGCTAATACAAACAAAATGCTCGTTTGTTCATTTATGTTTGTGAAAGTTCGATAATTCATTAGTTTATGTTTGTATACGTTCGGTTATCCGTTTAACTAAATTTATGTTCATTTATTTATAATTTTTTAAGAATTTTTACTTGATTTAAGAGAAGTTATATTTTATGTTAATTCTTTTATATTTATTTACGTTTATTTATCATTTTAACGAATAAATATGAATAAACTATATTCATTAAAAAATGAATACGATTTGTTTTGGGGCGATGACAGTGAAGGCATATGGGACTTGTAGTTACAACTATAAGGAGAGATTGTAAGTTCTACGCTCAGTTTTTTAGGGAAAGTCTTATGTGCGGCAGCCTTAATATAGGTTAAGGAAAGGCGTTATCGGTTTTGACATTATTTGTTTTAACAAAACCGGTAAAAAAATTACCGGAAACATTATTATTTCTACCGGTTTTGTTATTATTGGGCATTTTACCGGTTTTGTTATTTTTTATTCCGGTTTTGTTATTATTGGGTACTTTACGGAAAATGTTAAAAAATTAATATTTTAGATAGAAATAATAATGTTTTAGGTAATTTTTTTACCGGTTTTGTTAAAAAAATAATAACAAAACTAGTAGCGTCTTTCCTTAGCCGTATATTAAGGTTGCCGTACGATAGAACTTCCCGTTCTTTTGTTACTCGTGATTAGGTGATAATATGATATAGGTTGTTAAATCCCATTAATTGAAAATGATCATTAACCATAAATATAGTGAATTGAATTTGTAATTCTTTACTTCGTTTAGTTAAATGTTACTTTTACATTTCTTAGATCATAACTGTGAGGATTTTGGAGGTGAAAAAATAATCAAAATGAAATTAACACAAAATAAGATATGCATAATAGATAAGATTTAATGTGGTTCAGTCTTTTCTACCTCCACAAATAAGAAGAATAATAATTCACTATAAATATAGATATCACAAAAGGTAAAAATACATGATATCTCAAGTATACTAAAATCTAGTATCTATATCAAAGCTTCAAGTATCGCAAATCACCCGTTCAATATCCTACAAAATTCTTCTATGTAACGTTAACCATAAAAGTTACAGAGAATACAAAAGAATTACATATCTCTAAAACAATTCTCTCTCGTAATATTAAAAGTTAGGACACATTTTATATTTATAGAATCAAATACTTGATGATACTATTTTTCTTATTAATTTACTTTGTTGGTTTGAACTTTTTACTTTGAGCATGCACGTTTTGGATTGCGCAACCATGAGAGAACCATAGCTGTCACTTGTCATTTTGCATCACCGATGAGTAGCCTCATCAAACAAGAACATGTCAACGAGGTTACATAAGCAAATCTGTCAGACAAGGTCAGAAAGGATGAGTTCCATTGAAAACTCGACAAAATGCATGCAAGATTTCGGTGCATATTGCTATATTTTTCGTGGTTGAAATTACCTTATTTACGTATCCAAAGCTGATGCATGTCACACCTCTAGATCATTCTTCACCATGTTTTTCAGAAAACATATCAGCCCACAAACATTATTTTATATACATGGTCAAGCATGTTTTAAGCTTCGACAGCTTTGCAGTGCTTCTCGATCTTTCTATAAGATGTGAATTAATATATATATTAACTTGCGGTAGCAAAGGCATTTGACGAATCTCTGCATGGATTTCACCAAAAGCTTTTGAGTGAGTGATATGATATCGTCAGCTCTAAAATTTTTGGCCACAAAATAATACGATTTTTTCTAAATTTTTCATGGTGAAGAGGATTTTCTCATCTAACCAATCTCAGAAGAGATTCTGATTCCTATTTCCACGTCTTCAACAAATTTCGGCATAAGGATTCAGAGTATCAGATGATGGCAATGCATGCCACCTGCACTGTTTAATTTTAACATTTTCTTGATTTTTTCACTATTTTCGTTTGTATTAAATATGAAAGATTATAGATTAAATATTTTAATAAATTCACAATGTTAGAAAAAACTAATTCTACTACTTTATTTTCTTCACCAGATCACATTCATGATATTTTTCCTCCATCAAAAAATAAGGTTATAAACGAACCGAGTTGTATTTAAGTAGTGTTGAGCTTGACGTGATTTGACTTAGAAAGTATAAAATTGAGTTCGACTTGAATTAAAAACTTGAAAGATTTTGAACTCGAAATATTCTAAGACTTACCTCGATTGAAGCTCAAACTCAAGATCAATCATAAACCTTAATACATGAAAGCTTTATATTGTAATTTAAAAAATCAAATAAATCTCAAATAATTTATGATGTCTCGTCTCATTTATAGTCCTAATCAAAATCTCTCACTGCGAAGTTTCCATTCTTTAATGATAAATGCTTTACTCATCTTTTAATATATAAAGTACATTGTTATCAATAAATGTTTCTATTTTTTTTGTCATTTACTGTTTTTATCTCATCTGTGATTATTTTCTTTTATTATTCTATCAATTATTATTACTTTTTAAAATATTAAAGATGTTTTTATTTTTTCATCCTCTCAATGGGCTATACTTTAAAACTATAATTATTTGTATTTAAAAATTTAGAAAAAACAAATTCTTATATTTTTATTGACATATTTTTTGAACAATTTTATTGACATATTTGAAAAATAAAAATGTACTTTTATTTCTTTTCATTTTGAATTTATCTTATTTTTAAAAATATGACATGAATTAAACTATTTGTAGCCAAATGCTTTCTCGTTATGTAGTCCTATTTATACACATGTACTTTTCTATTTGACCAGTAATGACGTCTTTAGATTTTATTGAGAATATTTTATGTCGTGAGTAGATATACGGTAAATTTTAGTTTTCAATATAAACACTGAATTAAACATAATTTTTTCTATCAAGAATATTTACCATTTTAATATTTCAACGAAATAATTAGGTATGATCCACAAATTTACCTCAAAAAAAAAAGAATTTACCTCAAACGAGTTAAAACTTATTTTTAATGGTGATGATTAGATGTCAAGTTTTCTTTCTCTAATTTTTTTTTTGTATTCTTTCTTCGTATTAATAAAATTCTTTTCTTTTGATCGTGATTTTTCTCGAAAAGAATTTCCATATAAACCTTAATTTTTTTTTTTTTGTAATCTTTTCTTCTTGTTTCATCGTTAGTGTGCTTTCATTGTAACATAGGTAATATTGAGAGTGGCTGGAGATGTGGGTTTTACAATAGCATGTGTAAAAACTTTCAACCCATCATGTGCAAAGACTTTTTTTTTGGTTCGGTTAGTATATACTTACTATAGATACGTTACGATTAATTCACAATTTTTTTTATAAATCTGGGATGGGTATAAGATAATATTTGTTCAAAAATAAATTTTAATCATTTGATAATGAACGCTTATACCCCTGACATTTGCGCTACTTGAACCTGAGACCTTAAGGATTAACAACGAGTCCTTAATCACTAAGATTGGTTGATGCTCAAGGAATAATGCACGTTTAAATGTGTTTAAATTTACAATTTTCCAAATTTTGTAATAGTACCAAACTAAGGCTTCATATACTATATTACTTATGATTTTGTTTAAAGACTACAAATGTTGGATTATAGTTTTTTTTATAAAACTAATGTGATTTTTTCGCTATTTAAGAGAATTTATGTTCTTTAATCATATTGGAAAATGAAATGTTTGAGAATGAATTGTGTTATTGTAAAAGGATTTAGATGTGAGTGCAGCAGCGATTAGAAGAGCGAACCAACCTTGCCAGCAAATTGAATGAAGAATGAACAAGCAATCAAAAACCATTCCTAATTCTTTTGGGTAAACCGTTAAACAAATTGAGTTGCAAATAAGCCTTACAATGCCAATGGGACTGGTAGATTGCCATTATAAGTTGTATCTGCAGCAGGGTTATAAAACATCAAATCTAACACAAAAGGGTTCTAAATCATAACATATAACCTTTGTTTTCTCATTGGTTCATTGTTCTAAATTACACCTATGATGATGTTCTCAAAATAGACCAAACATCAGATATCATTGAAAAGATAGCTTAAGCTGGATATTCAAGAGAAACAAACAGAGTAATATACAAGAAAGATTTGGACAACTGGTATTTCTATATAGAATGCAAAATTTGAAGTATTTACAACAAAATAACAGAGTATTTTACAGAGATAACACACTACAATACTACATATTTCTTCTAATCTATGGACGGTTCATGCACACGAAGTGAAAGAACATGCAAAAACCAGCTGAGCTTCAATAGTATCTACATCCAAGCTACAAACTGGTCTCTGAAAACCCTTCACTTCAGATAACCCAAAAAAGGTCTAGGATTTAAGCCACCTTTAATCCACTAAACCATCTAAAAAAACCTGATGATGAGTTAGGCCTGATTTTCCAAGTCCTTTAAGCTTATGAATGTTCCATGGAAACCATAAGGAACTCGAGATGGGAGCTTAACCCTGGCTTCTAGCTTTAAATCCATGGCATTCACGATCTGCAGCTCCGATTTCCATGTCTTTTCATCGTGAACGAAAGCTAAAATGTAACCGTCATCTTCGTTTTCTGAAGGGTTTAGAGGGAAGAACAAAGGTTCACCACCGTACCTTTGGTCTCCATATATGTACTCGTTTACCTCTCCTGTTGAGAGGTCAACTTTGGCAAACCCGGACACTTTAGGCCATGGTTCAGCGAGGGCTAAATAGACGAACCGGGTTTTTCTCCCCAGAAAATTCCGGTTGACCATCCCTGCCTCCAAGTTTACTTGCTCGGATTCTGAAATGATGGGGCGGCGCGTAGACTTTCCGGTCTTCAAGTTGAGTCTAATTTCGGAGAGAACGCTCTTGAGACTCTCATCAGTTTCATTGAAAATGGAGTCTGGGGGTGTCATGCATGACCCAATCACCACGATTTCATCACTTTCCGGCTCCTCCCATGCATTCCATAGGTGGAAACAAAAGCAATCAGGTGCTTCAACCCACCTAATCCTAGTAGCATCAATGGTATTCTTCTCTAATATTCCAAATTTGGACACCTTGTTCTTATCATACACGACGGGCGACCCACCGTGGATCATTTCAGGCAATTTGAACACAACTTGCTGGTCGGGGATCACCACGAAGTTCTCGGTGATGGCGAAATCATGCATCATTGTTGGACCAGCCATCGGGATTTCAACATCGGGTGATTTCTTACCATCGGCTGAAAATCGGAAGTACTTAAGATATGGCTTGTGGATAACATCGTAGCTAAGAGCAAAGAATTCGCCTGACTGAGGATCAACCTTGGGGTGAGCAATCATTGTGGAATTTAACTGACCACCAAAATTGTATCTCCCAACAGTTTCCAAGTCCCCAGATGGTGTTATATGGACATGGTAAGGCAAATCATCCTCAGACATGGCAAGGAGATGGTTGTTGAAGTAAACAAGACCGGCGTTTGAAACACCGGTGCCATGGCTCGGATCAATGAGCCCGAACAGTCCACGAGCGTAGAAAAGTAACAGCCTAGCTATGCCGGAGTGGCCATGGAGTTCACCTATGGCTTTGGGGAAAACTGGACGGCCCAAGTCTCGTTCTTGAACCAGACGATTCGTTTCAGTGAACCTACATGCATAGCTAGCTGACCCATTATTGAACTGAACCGCATGAACCATGCCATCCCCATCGAAGAAATGGTGTCCGGCGACCGGCTCGTGAAGTGGGTTGGCTCCGTTCCGGACGTAGACTCCTTGAATGCATTCCGGGATTGTCCCAATGATGGGAAGCCTATGCTTGACGGGTTGCTCCGGGACCGGAGAGAAGTTACCGGCGATTTGAACTTTGGGATCAGCTGTTTTAGGAAGAGGACGCCGACTCTCATGGGAAACCAAAGCATTCTCCACCATGTCTAAAGCCATAGCCGCAACTCTTTGGAAGGGGTTCCATTGTTGGGTCGACTGAGCTCTCTCGGAAGGAGGCAGAGGGTAAACCGGCGACTGTTTAGGCAAATGAAGAATCGAAGGAGATTGAAGAGCACATGAAAAGCTTGGATTCCTCTCAGACCTCAAGGTTGAAACTGGGAATTTAGGCTTAAAACGAGTCCCAAAAGCTGCCGGAGATGGTGGTGCATATGAAGCCATGGTTATGGTTTAATTCAAGCCAATTGAGAGAGGTGTTTTGTTATGGATCAGAAAGGAGAATCTTGATTGGGTTTTGAAAGAGAGAAGCTTTGCATGTGGACTGAGAAGCGTTGAGATGTGAGACTTTGAATTGATGTTGTCGAAGTGAAGAGGTATATATAGAAAAAGGAGTTCGAAAAGGCATGCAAGAGAAGCCCACGTGTTGCGTTTCTGCAGCGAAAGAGGTGAAAGAGGAGCGTCAGTTTTAAGTGATTAAGAGTTGTTGTGGGGACACATTTGCTTTGTTCTTTGACACGACTACTCTCTCTCTCTCTCTCTCAATAAAATATCCCATGTAAATGTCTCCAACTGGCAAATTTAGGCCAACAGGCCAGCGGAAAAAATAATTCCGCCAATAGGTTAATCCAAAATTATTTTAGGATATACTACATATGTCACGTACATGATAAACTCTTCATACTCACATAATAATTTTTTTAAAATTATATTTTAATAGATTCAGGTTTATAAAATCTGTGTATCTAATATTTTAATATATTTTTTGAAACTCATCAAGTCTATATGATGAGATTCGTTAAAATAATATATTTTTATCTTAAATATTAATTTATAATTATAATTTTTTTAAAACTCTGGAACTCATCATGTGACATGATGAATTCCATTTGAATTTAAAATCCACCAGTCATCGATAATTGTTGGGCAACATATAGAAAGTAACAATCACGTTGAAACTCGTCATGTCGAAGTGACGAATTTCGTGAAAATTTTAAACGAATTAGTTGTTTGTAGTCGTTGGGTTTAGGGTTATGAATAGGAGTTTTACTTTTGCATTGTGATTTGTTAAGAAGAAAAATATATGTTTGAGAGAAAAAAATTGTTTTTTGAAGAATTTATGTTAAAATATCTATCCGAGAAGATATGTTACGCCTTGATGATGCTCATATTTCATTGATTAAACTCACTATGGTAAAAAAATTCTTATATTTTTAAAAGTTCAAATTATTAATTTTGTTGTTTTGAAAAATTTTAATAATTTTTTAATTTATATTGTAGGCACAAGAACGAGGTATTCATTAGCGAGAAATGAAAACTGACGATTCATATGAGGAGTCTATTATATATATATATATATACACACATCAATATGGGTGCTATCTTGCTGTATTTCTTCGTGGTTTTAAGGTAAACTATATACTGATTTCGGCGTTTATTGAACATTAGATGCCCGAAACACATCCATTTCATTTTCCAAGTGGTGAAGTGATAATTACTTTGGAAAATGTCACAGCGTTCCGATAAATGATGGGACACTGATTAGACACAATGCTTACGACCAATATGTGATTTAAGAGCAAGTATTAGGAAAAAGGCCACCAACAGATATCGTAGAAGGGTTGCAAATACATATGACTTGGTTGAAGAGTAAATTTAAAGTGGATAAACACTTTACCGATGATGCAGTCATTTACATCCCGATCATATCTTCTCCAATTGATTGGAGGGATATTGTTATCGGATAAGTCTTGGAATTTGGTGTGCACTCAACATTTTTCGATATTGAATAATTTAACTGAGTGTCATAGATATAGTTGGGGTTTATCAATTTTTGCATTTTTTAACTGGGAACTTTGTAAGACTACAATCATTACAAGGGGTCAAAAAGTCTATTTAGCTTGTCGTATAGTCTTACTACAATCTTAGGTATGGTATCATTTTTTTTGTTTTTTACGCCAATTACAACAACAGCCGTTGAGTTTCCTATAGTTGGAAGGTAATTTTTTTAACTTTATATGTTAGTATTTTTTTAATTTGTTTTTATTATGTTGTTTATATGGCGGCATAGAATTACATAGTCAAAGTTGACGGGTGCAACAAAAATTAATATACGAACGAGGATCAATATCACCAATAGACATGCGATAAATATTAGAAACAAATATTTATAAATTTTAAATTAAGAGAATTTATTTACTATTTACACTAATTTTTATAATTTAATTGATGTTTACAGTTTAATTTGGTTTTGTATTATGAGTCGGAGATCCAACGATTACTACTAGCATCATTTTTTGAAGGATCGGAGACGTGGTATGCCATAACACCTTTGTATCATTTTGAGATTGTTGAGATCCATGTTGCAGATAGAGTGTTGCGATAGTTTATGTCCCATGAGCCGATTCCAATGCAAATATTTGATATGGACAATCTCCCAAAATTGATGCACGTGGGAAATATGGAGAGAATTGGACGAGGAAGAATGTTGGATACATACAACAATAGAATGAGCGGTGACATCTATTTGTTCGTAGATTATACTTGATGATCTTGATTTCACAATATCTCCCTACTTCCAAAATTATGACGCAAATATGAAATAATATTTAACAACACTAAGAGATAGGGTCGAAGGGAAACAAATGAAGGGAAAAATATGTAAAGCCTATGAAATCATCATCAACATCTTCTTTTTCTTCTGCTTCTGAGAAATATTTTGCATCTAAAAAAAGTTATGATTTTTATCCTCAATATCATGCTTCATTGGAGAGTCGACCAAATTGGGTAGGAGGTTCATGGGATGCAGTGCCACACTCTCAACCATCTTCGATAAAAGCTGTGGGCGAATGGGATAATATTATATATGGTTAACGAGGTACTGATTTTTGTGGACAACTTGAGTCAATGATGGCATCAAATTCCTTAAATACTCTATCACCGCCACTCTAAGATGGAAATCAAAGTGGTGGTGTGATGTTCAATACATATGTTGAAGAAGAAGTGTTGAAAACATTATGATGTTTCGATATAACAAAAAAAGAGTAAATGAATTTTAAGATTTTATATTGGATTTCAAAAATTAATATTCGATTGAAATAATCGAATATCCAAAATATTACTCCAAGTTTTCAAAATGTTAATTTTAATCCTTACTAAGTGTAAAATTGTGTTCCAATCTTAAAATATTTTTGAAACAATTTTGACAAAGTATTTCTAACCTTAATCGAGCCAAAAACAAGTTTTATAGAGGGAGGTACCGATACACTCCTTGGATGTATCGATACACCCAAAATTTCGAATGAAATAAGGGTACTGATACATAGCCGATGTACCGATACACTCCAGGCTCTGAGAAACATCAAATGCAATTATTGTACCGATACACTTGGTCAAATAATGGTCGAAATATTTGAATTTTACACTGAGTGTACCGATACCCTTTGAAGGTGTACCGATACACCTACGCTCCCAACAGATTTTTTAAATGGAAAACATACAACAACGGCTCTATTGACTTAACCAATGATCCCCAACGTTCAAAATCAATCCAAGGTGTATTTAAACAAGTCTTGAAGCCATTGATCAAATATAAGAAACAAGAATTGAGAGAGAATCAAAGAGAAAGCCTTAAACTTATTGTTTGAGCATTTCAAGCATATTTTCCATTCAATATTCATTTTGCTTTCAAGAAAACCATTTGTGCTAAATTGTATTTATTCTTGTGTGTTCTTTCTTTGTTTTAGAATTGTGCAAACAATCTACCTTGTGAGGTTTTTCTGCAAAGTTTGCGAATTTGTATTTTTTCTCTTTGGGAGAGAATGTTCTCAAGAATTTGGGGTATAATTTTTGAGGGATTTGTAAGGTTACTCTTTATCCTCAAAACAAGGACAAATTAGTGACTTTGTGGAAAATCTTTAGTGTGAATAACTAAGGTAGTGTACGTAGACTTTGGTTGAGAAAGTCAAACCACTCTAAATTGTTGTGCAAATATTTTCAATTTTCTGTAAAAGACGTTTTAATTGCCAATTCACCCCCTCTTGGCCGATTTATCTGATTGATTAACTCAACAATTGGTATCAGAGCTATACTCATTTAAAGGTTTTACCACCTCTTGATTCGATTCGGGAAGAGTTATATCGATATTCAAGTCATCAATGGCCTCCGCATCAAATTTCAACTTCATTCTTGAGTCATTACCCGTTAGCAAGCCTCCTTTCTTCAATGGAGCTAACTATGCATATTGAAAGAATATGATAAGGTACTTCATTCAAGCTAGTGACATGGGAGCATGAAAAATCGTGATGAACGGATACTCTGAACCATCCACAGATCCAAATTTGTGGAGTGAAGAAGAGACGAGAATGTTCCAGCTAAACTCAAAGGCTATCCATATCCTTTTCTATGCAGTTGGACCATATGAATACGGGAGAGTTTCATCTTGTACAACCGCCAAGGGAATATGGGATAAACTACAAGTCACTCATGAAGGCACCAACGAGGTAAAAGAATCAAAAATTAGTCTTCTTACTCATAGCTATGAAAATTTCAGGATGAATCCAGGAGAAGATATCAAAGTTATGATGGATAGATTTTTCGTGATTGTCAATGGTCTCAAAGCATATGGAAAAATCATTCCAAATGAGAAGCTTGTGAGGAAGATAATTTTATTCTCTTCCAAAAGCTTGACAATCAAAGAAGACGACGATTATCGAAGCTAAAGATTTAAAGTCTTTAACTCTCGATGAACTCATCGGTTCTCTCTTCACGCATGAAATGATGGTTCAAGATGAGGTAGACCTCGAAAAGGAGGAGGAGACAAAGAAAGAGACGGAGAAAAAGAAAAATGTTGGAGTTGCTCTCAAATCCACAATAGATGAGAGTGATTTTGATGATAATGATTATTAAGAAATGGCAATATTTGCCAAACAGTTCATAAAATTAATGAAGGCCAACAGAGGAAGAAAATTGAAAAGAAATGAAGGCTTCAAAAATGAACCAAATGAGAAGGACCCGCTTATTTACTATGAATGCAAAAAGCCCGGGCACATCAAATATGTTTGCCCGCAATTAAAGAAGAATGGTCAATCAAAGAAGAAGCACAAGGCACACGTGACTACTTGGAGTGATGATGATGAATCATCAAATGAAGAGGAAAAAGAAGTAGTGAACTTGTGCTTGATGGCCACTGGCAAAGATTCTCAAGTAATCTCTAACTCATTTGAT